GCAGCGGTGCCTTTCTCCTCTGGGCGGCAGCAGCGGGGACCAGGGGGCCTGAGGCTAGCGGGGAGCTGCTGCTCCACTCAGAGTGGCACCTGGGGGCGCCCTCGGCGGACGGGGGCCGGGGGCTGCACCTCGCCTAGTGTGTGTGTCCGCTTGCAGAGTGCAGGATGCGTGCGCCCCTCTCCCAGGTTACAGCACAAACAACCCGGGCTTCTCCCCAGCCTGTGCTCGCCCTGCCGCCCTGCCCGCCGCTCCCTAGCGACAGCGCTGCTCCAAAAGCCAATGGTGAAGGGGCTTCTTTCAAAGTGCATATAAATCTGGTGCTTGTTGGCTACTATATGGCAGCTGCAAATGCAGTTCGCAAGGGGGTCCTCTCCACCACCCCATCGGAACCTCTCCTAGCCACCTCCTGCTTGGCCTACACTGGTTCAGGGTCCGAGAAGGGCAGGGCTGTGAAAAGGCACATGGATGGGTCTGAGGGTTTGCCACGAAAATGAAGTTACCTTCCTTTGGAAAATGTGACTTGGCTTGGAGCAAGCGGACCAGGCGACTGCAAGCCGAGAGCCCAGCAGGAAACTCCCAAGGGCTGGGAGCAACCCTTCAGCTTCAGACAGGAAGAGGAGATCAAAGCAAGCCAGTCCTCCAGTCCAAGATTGCCTTCGGAATCCACACATAATCATGTCTATGTCTAATTATACGGCTGCATCTCAGATGCTACCCTATTCCACTTAACGGTGTTCCTGTAGATACTACATGACCTCCTCAAATTTAGTCAATACCTTTCTTATCATGCAGGGATTTTCAAGCTGAAGATCTACAAACACAGAGGTTTCTTCACAGAGCACTCTTTCTTGTGAAAAAAACAAACAAAAACCATTGAGGCTTCCAATGATGATTTCCCTAGCTCCTAACCATGACATGCTACCAAACTAAAAAGATTTATATAAGTAAATATGAAGATTTAGAATGAAGGGAAGAACTGTCCTTGAAGCAGACTATAATAGTATAGATATCTTTTTCTTCACTGTGTTCTGGATTTCTGTAATTCATAGTTTATTATCATCAGTGTTTTTTTTCCACCGGTATTTTAAATGATATACTTATGTGGAAACGTGCAATAGTTAAGATAAGAATGTAATATCCCCAAAAGTATCATTAATTTCATTTAAATAATTCAGATATGAAATCCATCAAGATACCTAAGAGCTTAACTATCACTGGTAAACAGAAATAGATATGATTTGCCATGACCGGTTTGGCTCAGTGGATAGAGCATGGGCCTGCGGACTCAAGGGTCCCAGGTTCGATTCCAGTCAATGGCATGTACCTTGATTTCGGGCACATCCCCAGTAGGGGGTGTGCAGGAGGCAGCTGATCGATGTTTCTCTCATTGATGTTGCTAACTCTCTATCCCTCTCCCTTCCTCTCTGTAAAAAATCAATAAAATATATTTTAAAAAAAGAAACAGAGATGATTTGGAGTGGGAAGATGCCCAAGTATGACTTTGACTGTCCGACTCAGTGATCTGCCCAGGGAGAGTTAAATAATAACAGTGAGATGCTCAGGGATGTCATGTGTTTTCCATTGTGGATCAAAGATGTACTTACTTATATATTTTAAACATGTCCAGAAGAAATTAAACATACGACCCAGGTGAAAAGTCAAGTATTTTTGATACCACATAGACTGAAGAATCAGAGTGGTATTTTTCTGAAATCAAGGAGACATACTTTTTAAAAATCAGATAATTAACATTCTAACTAAGTCTTCACTGTTCTCAAAGCACTGCACAGGGGCATTGGGTAGAAAAAGACAAAATACATATTAATGGGAGAATCGTAAAAAATATATACATTTGTGTCTGTTAATACATTGAATACCCCAAAATTACATTTTTAAAATTCAGGAAATATTTTTGAAAGTTCTCAATGCCTGCCTCAAATACTAACTCCTTTTCTTGGTTCTTTCCACTTATCCCCAAACCTGACGTCATTACTACAATAAATATGTATTGCACAGCCTCTCCACAGCAGACATTATGTTAGGACAGAGGATGCAAAGGTGAAAGTCTCTGTCTTTATTCTCGGGTGTTCAGTCTTGTCTAGGCAACAGGCACAGACACAAATAATGACATTAAAAGTACTGTGCTAATACAGTAGATATATAGAACATGTCGTGCATGTACTAATGATGGAAAATTACCTGTGCCAGGATCATCAAGGAATGCTTCATAAAGGAGATGGTGTTTGAGCAACATGTTGAAGGAAGAGTAAAATCTTAAAGTTTTTCAGATAGGATTGGTAGAGTGAGGATGCCGATAATATTTTAAACTTTGGCATAAAAATTGGCATGTACAAAGGCACAGAAACACAAAACAGATGGGTGTTAGAGAAACATAGGGTGTGGTTGGAGGAAGATTGGCATGTGAGGTTAAAAATGTAAGGAGAGTAAAGCTCATTAAAGGTCTTAATGCTTTGTTAAGACGTACAGACTTGCATATTTTGGGCAATGAGAAGTGACTAGTTTTGAGCAGAGGAGTATTATACAGAGTCAGGTAAAAGTTTTAGAAAGATTGCTTTGGTTACAAAATTCATGATAAATGGAAGAATGATATGGGGATTACAAAACCAATTTGGGTGACAGAATCCATAAACAAATCATGAGGGCCAGCCTTAGGACTTGGTGTACATAGAGAGGATGCGATGTATTCAAGAAATATCTGAAGACTAATTTGTTGATTAACTATTTGTAGGATGAAGTTGGAAGAGGGAATCAAAGATGACCCTCTGATTTCTACAGTGAAGCTGGGAGATTAATAAGTTATTTGCCCAAGTCACCCAATGAATAATTGATAAAGACAGGTTTTATTCAGGTTTTTCTAACTCCAAATCTGAAACTATTTTAATTCTCTATCCGGCACCCTGCAAACTAGTCAATAATTTAGTTTGCAATTATCATTGTCCCCTAGTAGGAAGGGCTGTCTCATGACCTGTCACATAGTAGGCACTCAATAAATTGCAGTTGGATGAACCGATTACCTTTTAGTAGATCAATTCAATCCAGCTACGTTCTTTCAGGGTAAATTTTGCCTCTAACACGTGGAATTTTGTTCTATTTAATTAATTAAATGCATATCTTGGTGCCTCTTTTAAATTGCAAACTCATCAAAATCATGAACTGTATCTTAATAATTCTCTTATACTTTATAGTATGTAACAGTATATTGTCATATAGTAGGTTCTTCCTAAACATCTTTAATTAATATCCTATTGCTGTACATTTTAGGAATTTATTTCATTTAGTCCCTTTAAGGTAATCTGAAAAGTAACCATTGTCTTAGATTGAATTTAACCATTTTCACCCATAACATGGCACCCTTATGATCCTTTCCCTTTTTTATTTTATTTTTTGGCTTAAGTACAGCATGAAAAGGCCATTTTCTGCGGGACCGTTTGACCTCATTGTGTTATAGGATCACCTGTCAGCATAATTTACAAATACACAGAATCCAGTTTATAGGATGTACTAAAGCCCTTGTCTAACTTCATTTGTAAGACACCTTGCACAACACATTACACAGATGATTTTTGATGAGAGACAAGAGAACAATGGTGAAGGCCAGTTGACCTAATTAGGAAGTATTAGCAATGTAATCCCTTGAAATTCATTAAATATTGAAATCAGAGAGCAGGGAAGTTCTGTACAGGCTCCGGGAATCAGACTACTGGCCTGAAGCATACTTGTCCCTTCCTGTATCTCTGTCACCCCTCCAAAGTATAACAGGGACAAAACCCTGCCCAAAGAACTCAGTGCAGCATCAGGATTTTGATTTTTGAACTATAAGGTGGAGAGGCTACATCAGAGACAGAAAAGATAGAGCAGGTAAGTGGAAAAATGGAATAGTCCTGAGTGAAAAACTTCCCTAATGTAATTTGATTTCAAAGTCTGAATTATCAGAAAAAGAATGATAATTATGGTTCATACTACATTAACTTATTACACTGTAGGATATTCTATATATGGAAACTTTCAAAATACATGTTTCAGGAAACAATTCAAAAGATAACCAGGGTATATTTGGACTCTAATACAAGAATGTTTATTATCATTTCACATATTATAGATTAATTAATTTCAAGGGATTACACTACTAATTACAAAGATACTGATACTAAAATACTGTTAGATCTGTGGTTAGCATGAGCATGGCTCATATCGGTGTTAGTATGTGTGAAGGGCCATTTAAGTCTCCACTGAATTTGATTCTTTTTAATAGCTCCTCAGTAAAATTTAGAAAGTATTTTCTTGTTTACTGTTAAGTAGTGGTTCAAGTCCAGCTAAAAGGGAGGGACGCATTATTTGGGAGCCTATCAATTTCAATCATTGAGAACACTGACCTTGGAATTCTAGCCCAGGACAGAATCTAGGCTTTGCCACCAGCTGTGCGATCTTCAGGAAGCTACTTATTCTAGCTCATCTGTAAAGTGAAGGCAAATAGCACTTAGTTCCTACGTTTATTATAGGGATTACATGAGGCAATGCAGGAAGCACTCAATACAGGGCCAGGAACACGATAAAGAGTCAATAAAGGGTAGTGCTAATATTGTTATTATTGTAATTATACCATAATAATTATCACCACCATCACTAGCAATTCTTTGAGAATGAGATGAACCCAAATGATGCTGCCAGCTTGTGAGATCCCA